TTGTTCCCAAACCAATAATATGTTTAAAATCTTAATTGAGAGACTTCGTATGCCGACTCTACCAGTGGCACGCGTCAGGTTTTTACTAACTGCGAAGATCAGGTTTTTACTAACTGCGAAGATCAGGCAAAAGATTGGCCGCTAAACTCCATTGCGTCACCTCAATTCATCTGCAGCGAAAAAGTTCCATATGTAAAGTTAGCTGATACAAATTCTCATCAATCTTCAGCGGTTGCATCGGTGTTTATGATGTTTATCACTGTATAATACAATCGGAAACGACCAAAAATTCAATACCTTCAAGGTACAATATCTCTCAAATGGGTAATTTTATGCATACATACTGCAATTCCCTAATGCGTAGATTTTATGTTTTAAAATATTGATATTAACTTTCTTTAATTGAATTAAATTAAAACAAAATTGCCTCAACAATTATTTATTTGCATGCACAGATGAATTCTTAGTACATATTGTACAAACCATATTCACATGTCCATTATCACTATCTAATATTTTTTTAGCACCCGAAATTGATTTTGGTATTCTTGTTTGAAAAAACTTTGGCAGCACTGTTTTTTTCGTCCATATCAACTTGTGCCAGTTGGTAAAGTAAAAAGAAGAATATATATTGCATATAATTGGCACTTTCTAACCGCTGAAGCGATTTTCAGCCGAGTAGACAAATGGTTAGCATTGCTTGCTGCCATTCGGAAGGCCCTTTTTCAAAACCTGGTTCCACCATACCCAAAAACTACATAATTTAGTTTAATTAAAAAAAAGTAGAACTTTTTAATTCTGACATGAATATAAAATCGCCTCATAAAGAATTTACCAGCCGTTCAGAGGCGGCTCAGTATAAACTGTATGTCTTTTCATTTGTTGTACAAGAAATATATAGACGCAAAACAACAAATTAGAGGAGGATCTCGGCCGAAAATCGGCTGAAAAGAAGAGTATACATATATAAATATATCTTTGCATTTTATTTGTTGATGGTAAGCAAATTTTCTCAGCTTTATCTCCAACGCATTCCTGATAAAAGGGTAACTCTTCTCACAAACTTCTTAACATGCGCCTTTTATCTTCATTTTAATCGAATTCAAGACGAAAAATATGCCTATACATTTTGGTTTTTATTTTTTCCCAAAATAATAACTCAAAAGCAAACAGCAGATTGTTTGTTACCTCCTATTTCACCGGTAACAAAACTTACAGGGTGACTGTTGAAGCCAAAAGCTTTAAAAGTTTGAGAGCCACTGTGTGGTTTTCCGAACTGCAGATTATCTATAATTACCAGTGTGCCTTTATACACATTCGGAAATATTGTAGATATAAGCATAAACGGAAGAAAATACCACAGTTTCGATGTTAATGTATTATTCTTTCTTTGTGCAATATAATTCTATATTCCCTTTTGCATAATAAATATTCATAGTTAAAGGTAGTTATTTATTTATATTCACTTTTGGAAAAACTCTTATAAAATGTAATACTTTGGTTTTAATTACAATAAAATTTAGCTCTTCGACTAACACATTCTTACTCGTTTACATATGTATTTCGTTTCATTCTTTCGATCGGGTTGCGGGTTCCGGCGTTCATTAATTTGAGACTTACGGTCTCAACATTTGGTCCTTCGAGCCGGTTCCGCAACAGTGAATATAAAATTATATTGAACGAAAAAGGAATAATATATGGGTAGAATATTACCGTTTTAATTTTATAAGGATAGATATCTGGTTTGAACTTCGAGTTAAGTTCACGATAGTAAAGTACTTCACTACTCAGATTAACGATTTCTTTGAAGTTGTGTATTGATGTAGGAGTTTTAACTAGTTTGGCGATGTTTTTATTTTGAATGTAGAAAAACATTCCGATCTAGGTTATCTATGGAGCTATCCTCTCCCATTGAGACCCTGGTAGCAAGGCAAAAAACGTGTGCATTGGAGGTGGTCCCTATGGCACTCCACACTAACACGGTTTCCTAGGATATAGGGTTGTTATGAAGCCTTTGCTTCACCCTGACCAGCATAATCTTGGAGTACGAATTACTCTCCATGAAGAGATCTATTGAACTGCCTTGTTGAAGATTTGGATCAACATTGAATTCCCTATTTGTAAAAGAAGGAATTGCGTGGCAATGCTTGACCGAAAAAATTTTTTGATGAAACTATGTGGAAAATATGAATTTTGATGAACTAATGTTTTTGAAAACCCAGTGTTATCAGAAGCAGTGGACTGCATGTGAGTTGAGAAGGCTTGCGACGAAGCTGGATGATTGGTAGCATCGGTATATGAAGAAACTCTATGAAGTAGAGTATAGTGTCTGCTATTACACGTGGTGCACGAAATATTGCTTTTGCACCTCTTTGTTGAGTGCCTATTCGAAAGGCAGTTAACGCAGAAGTTATTCTGCTCAATCGCTGCATACCTATCATCTATCGAAAGAGTTATCTTGTAGCCTAGGGCACAAAACACAATATAATGCAGATAATTTGGTCGCATGAGTTAACCTTGCTTGTTCGTCCTGAAAGTGTTTGTTTGTTCTTTCCCATTGCTCGATGATTTCCTGTTTTAGAATTTCGAGAGAAAATTTTGAATATTCCCTGAGGCCGAACTTGGCATCATATTCTAATATTTGATACGAGTAAATATTAAAGGAACTCAAGGACGACATGTATGCGCAATAGAAAACGAAAGACTTCGAATAAATTTTGAAATATATTATCCGCGTTGATGTCCCGAAAAATTTTCTCGAACAAAAACATTTGAAAAATTTGCTAAAAATTCAAAACAGCTTATGTTTCTGCTGATTGAAACGAATATATATATTTTGAATTATCTAAAAGAAAAGGTTTAAATCTCCAACAGGGACAATGCCGAAATTTCCTACTGGGTTGGGTGTTTTTCAACACCTATGTTTTTACCGCTCTTCGCATGTGTATCGCTGCTATAATGAGCAGCTGATGCAAAAAATGCATTGAAAAAAAAGAAAATAGGTAAATTGATGAATAGTTTCTTAAGTACAAATATGTACAAACAAGAGTATACCGCGAGCAGTAAATTATGTTTGCTGATACTAAAATCTGAAGCAAAGAGCAAGTTTCTGTACATACATAGGTATGATATGTTTGTAGGTATGTAATTTTGTTCTAATTTGTAAAATACCCGAGAGAATAAGAAAACAAAGCCAAGATGCGAAAGAACAAACAATTGAAGTTTTGCAAATGATTTATTATGTGTGTTCTGAAGCGGAAAACTTTATAAAATCGAGATATTAAAAATTATTTGGAAAAACGGAAATTATAAAAAAACTGATGTGAATTTTAATTATATTTGCTTAGCTTTTTATCACAATCTCTCAACAAAACTTTCACGCACCTGTTGATTCCGACCATCCGAATGTGTGTGTGTTGTTGTGTGATTGCCTCGGTGTGTTTCCCAATAATTTACAGAACTTCCAACTATGGATATTTTCTTTATGAGTGATGGATGGCGAAGAGGGTGGAAGAATAATTGGTGGAGCTCGATCCGGATCGAAGGACAAAATATTGATACTTACATCAAATTATTTAATCGAAAGAATGAAACGAATTATGTAAGGGTGTTAGTCGAAGAACTAACTTTTAAGCTTTTAAGGCTTTTGGCTTAAACAGTGAGCTCAGAATGCGAAATAGTAAAAAAAAATTCTGAATGCTAAATTTTAATACCAATGTAAATTTTATCACCTCGACAGAATAGACCTGGCAATAATAAAATTTACACGAGGGGCGACATCTGCATTTATGTACGTCCCCGAGTCATGATCGAGAAGCGTTTGAGATTTAGAAGTGTTCAGTTACGGGAAAAATATTTATTCAACAGCTGAAATTTAGTAATTATGGAATTTTAAAATTTATTTGTTGAACGAAATAAACAAAAAGTATTCTTTCTCGTTTGAAGCTTAAAAGTAAGTCAAATATCGAAGGTGCTGGAATGAAAATTAAAATTGTGACACAATCGACCAAAGGGTTTACTCAATTCAGAACTTGTTTTATATGACTTTAATAGTAAAGGCCTAAATTGCCTAGATACACGAGTTAGGACATTAAAGTTTACCTCAGATAGGAGCCATGAACTACCAATTGATCAGCTAAAAAGTTTCACTACAAACAATGCGCCTCACATTTCTCTACGACTTGCGTATGTAGATTAAGAAGCTTTAAGCGGTTGGGATAGAGAGGAAGATTTATCGTATAGTTCCACCGGAAATTTCTAAATGAAAAAAGTTAACTTTTTTTTGAACAGACTCCAACTCCAGCTACATATCAGAGAACCATATTCCAATATTGGCCTCGCCAAAGTCGTATAAAGAAACAAAAAAGTCTTTAAATTCTTTGGACCATCTTTTAACAAAGGCAAAACCACTTTTAGTCTTTAAGATAGTGGTTTTGGTATGACGATGGGAGTTGAGCTTTGGGTCCATCATAACCTCCAAATCAACAAAGGTGAAGACTTGCACCAGACTACAGTTATTAATAAAATAAGGAGAAAGTTTGAACAAGTCTTCGTGAAAAGCATAGAAATGGTTGACCTACGTTTCCGGCCGCTTACGAAAGATGCTTTCTCGCAAGCACCTCAAAACGCTCAACTAATACTCATGATTTACCTTCTGTCCCGTTGGAACGAATTTATGATGAACCAAACGGCAGACAACGAAAAAAAAACAATTTCCGGAAACTTTTTGGTATTAATGTTTACATATATTTACTTATATCTATATTTTATTATATATATTTCTCAATATAAAAAAATGAGATGAAGAAGAACACGTAACCTGCGAGTGCGCAGTAAAAGAGTGGAAAAGTATCTACAGGCCCCTTATTCAATTTACTATGGAGTAGGTTTAACTGGGTGTATGGCATATTTAGTTACTTAAGTTCATATATGTATATTATATATACATACATAGAGATATATAGTACCTACAAGTGTCCAATTGCTTAAGTGACGCTTACCTTCTTGAGGGGTTGATGCTGCAGTGAGGTTCAACGACGGGATGATAGGTTGCTCCACCACTTTGAATATATCATCGAGACTAGGAGGATCTAGTTGTTCGCTATGTCGTTGCAAACTTACAAATTGCTCGATTTGGGTATGACGCATACTTTTTACATGTTGTATCATATTTAAGAGTGTAGATGTGCTGTAGCTGCATAATTGGCATGTTAAAGATTGTTCCAATGATTCAGACATGGCCTTCGAAGTGATGTTAAGAGAGGCCTCAGTAACACTGTTTTCATCGAAAGTTACACCATCTGTTTCCAAATGAGTTACTTTTGGGTGAAGGTACGATTGCTGATTCTGCCGTTGCTTTTGTTGCCACTCGGTTTCACTTTTGTCAATGTTATGCTGCTGCATAATGCGCAATAAATGTTGGAAGATCATGTGCATTGTCTCGTGCCGCATGTGCTTCGTGTGCAACGAAAGCTTTTGTATTGAATTTGTATAGAAATCGCAACAATTGCATTTCAGTTTAACTGTATTTGCAGCAAGCTGCAGATATTTAAACTTATATTCGTTATCCGGCCCTCCTTCGCGTATATGGTTAACGTAATTCAACTTCTGTAGATGTTTGTCCGTTTTGCTGTGTAATTGAAAATTCGCTTTCAAATTCGTCTTGTAGTTGCATAAACGGCAAATATAGTTGTTGTTTAGGGTAACCATTACATCGTTACTGGGTGAATTAGAGACACTGGACTTGGTGTTGCCGTCGATGTTGTTCGCTGCTACTATACTGTTACTACTCCGTGAGCGATCTGTCAACAAATGTTGATTTAGTTCGTCTAAACTATTTGAGCTGAAGACATCGCATATTAAGCAACTGTAGAGCTTTATCGGAAACGGGTCGACGCGTATTGGTAGTTCAAGCGTTTCATCGGCTCTAGAAACGCCGACGCCGCCACCATCAAAGTTGGAAGACAAGTTGAGTTCACTGTTACTGTAGGGGGCTGAAGGCAGTAGCAATGTTGGTGAGCTATTGTTTGGTGAACATGACTTCTGTAAGTGTTGTCGTAATTGCTGTAGTTGTTGCTGCTGCAATTGAATTTTTTGTTGTTGCTGTTGCAAGGTCGATTGCTGTTCAATGTGCCTAGCACGCGGCGATGAGCGTGGCGATGAGCGTGGCGAAGTCTGTATTTCCGAAACAGATTCATGAAGCTGATGCTGCTGACCAACAGACGTAGAGTTGTGCTGCAGCAATTGTATCATAATCGCCTGATTATAAGCCAGATCGGCCAGCGCAATTTCTGGCAAAAAACTAGCAGTCACTAAGCCGCTTCCTAGTCCGGCAGCCTGGGTTGCTACCGTCAACTGCTGCTGATGTTGAGCAGCGACAGCTTGCTGATGCTGATGCAAGAAGCTGTACGCTTGTATGTGCTTAATATTACTTTGCAGAGCGGCCATATTATGGGTATGCTTCTCGCTGGTCATATGAATGCGTAGATTACGTGCCACCGACGTTTCGTAACTACAAATGTCGCAGCGAAAGGACGGTTTATTTTTGTGAAGCATGCTAGCTGTATTGCCAAAGCTATCCAAAATAGCACGCCCACTGACGCTACTGGAAGAGTCGCCGTTGTTGCCACTAATTGTTGAGTTGGTGGTAGAAAGCCCAGATTGCGCCTGTTGTGTTTGGGATTGAGAAAGTGTTGGCTGCTGTTGCTGAGATGCTGCAATGTTATTTGGCAACAGCATCTTGGATGGGACATCAGTTTTCCCACCGCTGGCGGCGGCCACAGCAGCTGCCAGCATGCTTTGAGAACTGTTCAACTCTTGCATATTGTTCAGATGTTTGTCAGATTGCATATGTATAGACAGATTTCCTTTCGTCGTTGTTGAATAATTGCAAATTTCACAACGATAAGGTTTGTAACCACATGAGTATGATTCACCACGAGCTAAACGCGGATGTTGCTGACCTAAATGAGAAAAACATGAAGAAACATGAGAACGTGGTAAAGAACCTTGCATGCTATCACCCTGATAAATATCTTTTTTTGTTCATAAAGCAAGCATTTTAGTTAAGTTACAATAAAATTATATTATTTGATAATTTTATCACAACGTTAATTATTTCATTAATCTATTTGAGCTAACGAAAGAATGAAAATATCTTCAAATACAAGCTTTCTTACAATGTAGAATTCCACACATTATTTTTTCAGAGCAACAATGCGGTGGGAGCCTTTGGTTTATCAGTAGAGCTATTGAAAAAATTGTCAAAGTGCTTGAATAGATTGGAAAAGTGATTTTTGAGTATCTTGGCACCGGTCGGGAGGGCGCACCATGAGACAGATTTATGAATCTTTGAACGTTGTGAATGGAGACCATGAGCTGCATGAGATATAAATATAGATCAGCAAATTGAAAGACAACACGTAAGTGGTTACAGAGCGCCAATTGAAATAACTTGAATAGCCAGTTATCAGCGGATTGGCAATGGTACATTTCATAACGGATAAACGAAATAAACCTAGAAATTTTCTATTTCATTTGCGTAATTTGAATATATACGGAGGTTTGATCACTTTTGAGATGAAGAAGGCACTCAACTTATTCTACTTTTTTTAATTAAGATTAATTTCATTTTATATATATGAATACAATTTTATTTTGTTCTCTTATTTTAATATTTTTCAGATTATCAGCGAATAAAAACGAACCGAAGGAAGCTTTAGTGAAGTCACTCCGACTTATTCGGTTTAAGGGTCTGCTGAAGTCTAATTGCAGCGTCTCTTCATCAGAGATGTGGCTGCAAGCGGGCGTCGGTCTTGAAGCAAGCGGCTATACAAATGTGTAAACTTTAAACTTACTCGCCTAGCGAGCTGGTGCGCTCGGCTTAGGATTCACCACATAAACACCAGCTCCAATGAAATAATTAAACAGATTCGGATGAAACATACCCTCCGGGTGCCGGCCCCCTCAATCGAAATAATGACCACAATTTGGGAGCATGCATCTAGATTGTCCAGTCCCTTGTCGGAAAGGTGTCCTAATAGGAATAAAGGCTGATATCAGCGCCCTGCAAGACGTGCGATTGACAGCACAAGGAAGGTAGGGAGTAGGTTCTTGTGGCATTGGGTACAGCAGCCATATGAAGTACCGCAAGTTTGGTGGAAGATTTGTGGTGGTAGAGACACTGTCGTCAAGTACTGGAACGGCACAATCCGCATGAGAGCGAATCATTGATTTACGCCTTCTCTCCGACGGAGGAAAAAAAAAGCGGTTTTCTATTCGACTTGCACTCTTGTGGGACGGTATTTCAAGCTGCCTACGTACAGATGCAAACGATGTTATTGGCTTTCGGAAAGTTCGATGAGGACTGTCATATCGCAGTGGAGAGAAAGCAGGCTGCCTACCTCGCAAAGTTGCGATTGACCAAAACGCGTGAGGGATAGGATAGGCACCAAAACAGAAGAGGGAGCCAAGATGCATGTGCACAAAGAAAGAAAGAGGCCGAGATAAGTAAGTATAAACAGATAGAGAGGCTAACCGACAAGGTTAATGCTTGAAATTGCTTACGGAAGGTTTCAAAGTCAGAACGGACTCTTGTAGGACCCAGATTGATGATCTAGTGACGGATGCCAAGAGTATACTGTGTTTGTGGATCCAACGCGCTGAATGGCAGTGAAAGTGGTAAACCCAGAGATGGTGAACTCGCATTTTCGGTCGACGACGATGGAAAAGACGTTCCAACTATCGTCTAAAGAACAATAAAACATTTAGAGCTGATGGTCAACTAGCAGAGCTGACGGTCTTCCAGCAGAGCTGACGCTCTACCAGAATCGGCAAGGATCTCTCCGAGCCGTTCGGTATCAAACAAGGTCTCGGACAGGGTGATTGCTTATCCTGTGAATCTTTTAATTTATTGCTGGAATAAGCCATCAGAGCTGAAGTGGCAGCTCGGCTCCAACGTTCCTGCTGACAGTCACAACTTTGAAGTCGTCGATAGCTTCGTCTACCTTGGAAATATTATTAACTCCAAGAATAATTTTAACCTGGAAATGCAACGCAAAACTTTGGACTGAGCAGGTAATTGGAAAGCAAATGCCTATCTTGACGAACAAAAACCAAACTCTACAAGTCGCTAATCGTTCCCGTCCTGCTATATAGAACGGAGGCATGGAATATGAGTCGGCGATAGGAGTTTTCGAGAGAAAAGTATTGAGTGATATATATGGGCTTCGAGGAGTTGAATGGCACAATGTTGTGTACTTGGTTATAGTCGCATAAGCGATGTCTACGCCAGTAAAGAAGAACATAAGCAGGCTATTTCTTTTCTTCACTGTGTCAAAAAATAGCAGAATGGTTCAAAATATCTGGCTTTGGGAAATATACTGAATGGAAAGATGATGAGACTCTCTAATTTTATGTAGTAATTATAGATGAAAATCAACGCCAATGATTACGCTAGAACCTGTTGTCGCGCTATCAACATTTACCTTCTTTTATGTACTTTGGATGTATTAAGCAGCTCTAACAGATAGCCGCCTAAATGTTTTATAAAGTTGGGTCTTGTCCTAAATTGTGAAGGGCATTGCGGCATTAAAAAAACGAAATCAGATTTCGGCTTAAACTCAAAATGTGACCAAGAAGCGGAAACCTTCAGCTGGGTAGATGTAACCTACTCCTTCCCGAGTAAGGCATAATGAAGGGAAGGCAGTCCGTCGGTAACAGTCAAAATATACTTACTTTTACCGGTTCCTGGTGGACAGATGAGCGTAATTACAAGCGCTGTTCGTTCGAGAGATGCATCGCCATGTGTAATACTGTTGGCTGTCGTTATGGATTAGAAATGAAAAGATGTGCCAGATTAATGTAGCGTCTAAGTTCCCTACGCGAAAGACTGGCATGCAGCTTACTTTGTGGACATATTTGCAAATCCATTTGATCGAATTTATTGAATTTCCGATCGTTCAACTTTTATAAACTATTTCCTTACTGCATCTCAGCATTATAAGAAGGGATTCCAAGTTGATGTTGTATATATTGATTTTACCAAAACCTTCGATGCTGTCACCGACATCATTTTATTTTCTCCACTTCTCTCCTGGGTTAGATCATATATCTTCAATATATTCTGTTTTGTTTAAATTGGGAATACGATATCATATGCACTTAACGCCACCTCTGGGGTGCCTCAAGGTAGCATTCTTGTCCATTTATTATTGTCCAAACGGTTCAAAGTTTGAAAAAATACCGAAGACGGTCCTTTGAATGAAGTAGTGTTCCATAAAATAATGCCAAGGCTCAAACATTGTAATAAAAAAGAAATTCAAAAAAAAAAAATAATAATTTCGGAACCGCCAAATGCATAACCCCACATAATTCATGTAAGAACAAATAATTGCTTAGTTGCAACTTAATATGTTCGCTCCGTAATCTGCTTGTATTAAACCTTTTTAACTTGGTAACATGAAGCATGTTTCAGAAACTCTGGCTATTTGGTCCATATATCAAGATCTTCGTGGCATAATTGTTCTTATAATGACAACTGTCTCCATCTCTAACTTTTATTCGATGAAGCATTTCAGTTAGTCGTATGTATGTTATCGAAAATCTTAGAGGTTTATAGTGAGATTATTCAACTTCATCCCACAACAGACTAGTCTTCACGGATTTGTTTGGATTAAGAGTAACAAAGATTGCATGAAATCATATTCTCCTATTATAAGATAATATATCGGGGTTGGTTAATTTTCGAGCGTATTCTATAAAAACTAATTTGTTGGTTTCTGCTTGCACTAATACTTGCTTATCTGTTTTCTGAGAATATTCACTCACAGTTGCGTACCGTCGTTACAGTAACGTTTGGTTTTCGACATAGCCAGAAAAAGGAGCTGGCCGATGACCAACATCACCAACATCTTAACCTTGCAATTAACCACAACACTTGCGGGGTGGAATAGCTACCGAGAATCGAAAGGCAATAGACATTTGCAGACAAAAAAAAAGGTGTGGACATGAGTGAGTATGAAAAGCTTGAGGAGCTGCCCGATAAGAATAATGTTCGAGAACTCTATGATAAGAAATTGCGACTCTCAGAAGATTTCAATACCGGAGGATACTTATATAAGAACCCTAATGGTATTCTGGTAATTATACAATACTTGGAGGAGACACTTCTCTAGCTTGCAGAATGAAAGTGTGAAAAAAAGAGTTTCCATCACCAGACTATTGGCCATGTTTGGATAACGATTGCCTCTTTAAAAAAGAACAAAGTGGCTGGAACTGATGGCTTAACGCCAGAGCTATTCAAAAAAGATAAAGAGCTAACAATACACATGCTTTAGCATCTTTATGGAAAAAGGTCAGACGAAAGCACGTAGAAGACTAGTGAGAAACGGATCGATACACTTTAAGGCTGCATATGAAGTGAGAATTGGAAAGGCCCTCATTGATCTTTTCAGTACTGAGCGGCACAGCTCCCACGTCACTGCAAACATTCATAACTCCGAGATCAAAAATTTTTCAATCTAGGGACTAGCATTAACAATCCAACGCAAAATAACATTTGCAAGTTGGTGTTACTATGGACAGAGTAGCCAATTGAAAAGTAAAGTTCACCCTCGACAAACCAATATTAAACTCTACAATCTCCTCACTATCCCCGTTCTGTGAGATAACAAATTCCAATGACTAAGGAGTCCTCGAGAGAAAGGTTTTGTGAGGATTTATTATCCTCTGCGTATTTGCAATGATGAATGTCGTAGACGATGGAATGAGTTATACGATAACATTGATAAAAGTTAGCGAATGAAGAGACAGCAGCTACGCTGGCTAGATCATGACGCCCGAATGGATGAAAGCACTTTAGGTGGAAGCAGAAGAAAAGAAAAACCGTCCACACCTATGGTTTCTTTTAGTATTTCCAACTGGCGCCAAACAGCCAAGGGGAGGAATGAATGGCGCTTTTGTTGATTCCACAATCGCGTAAGCGGTACCAATTCCTATGAAGAAGAAAAAGGGGTCTTTCGATGATTATCCTTAACTCTTGATAACGTGTATCAAACATAAATATATTGCACGTATGAATGTTCAATAAGTCACATACACAGGGGCTCCCCCATCTTTTGGACCAATATTTACGCCAGCTGCGGATATTTAGATAAACTATCATATTGCACCTTTATCACTGGCAACATGTTTTTCTTTTCCGTTGTACATGCAGGTATTGCATTATTTACCGTTGCCAATGCGCAACAAATAATGAAACGTTCGCAAAGCTTTACTCTCGAAGACTTCCAAGTTCGTTTTATTGGAGGTCGACATTTTCCACGCTTCTGCACCATATAACAGGAAGGAAATGATAAGGGTTTTTCGCAATTATATGAAAATTAAGTCACTTTGTCCAAAATATTGTTTAGGAACGACGTCCAATTTAGACTGCGTTTTTGGTATTGTCCATTGTCAGTTTACACAGAAGCATAAGTATTGCAGAGAAAAAAATTTTTAGACATTAGGTGGGTACACATTGGTGTTTCAAACAATACGCCTTATGTGCGCTATTTTTTTGGCTAATCTCGCATAAGTTTGCGCTGACTGTGAGCTCTTCTTTTTATGAATTACTTTCAATCGTCGGACCATTTCTGCGTGGAAGCTGATACATGTATTTTGTCAGCACTTCACCACCATCTCTGAATAACTCCACCGGCATGCCACCGGGTACAGCTGCTATGTTCCTTTTAAGTGGGATATCGTTAACCGAACCTCGTCTTAGTCGGGTAAAGGAGCGTCTTTTATAAAATCGTCGAATTCGTAGTGTCCATCTTTTGTAACGAAAGCCGTATATTTCTTACAATTTTCGTCTGTCTGTTTAGTGGTAGCCAATGCGTAAATCTCAAGCTGCGAAAAATTTGTTACCTACTAACTGTACTAATGCTCCTCCAATACTGAAATCGGATAGGATATTCTAATGGAAAGAAAATCGGTGATGAAAAATGGGCCAAGCAAAATAGGTCCCCACACTCAACAAGGCAATATTCACCCGTTTTATCGGCATATATTTTTCTTCTAAAGCATTGTTTTGCTCACTTCAATCACCAAAAATGGGTTGGATTGCAAATTCCAAAAACCCAAACTATTTATATTGTAATATATCGAAGTATAATAAAGAGATGAAATGAAAAAAATCCTTAAGCTGACCAAATCCACTCTAACTTCGCTACTTCACGACGCTTTGTTCTTTGTTCCCGGCAAAACCGATGAAAAAAATTCGAGCCTCGTGTTTGATACTAGCTATGCAAACAGTACAAGTTAACGAAAAAAAGCAATACTGCCACATTTTCTGTTTGCTCACCTGATTACAGTTTCACCTGCGTTCTAACAAATTTTCTTATTATTAGATTTTCAGTTCGAATGAAGAGAATAATCAATAATATTTCATTTGTATGTAGATTTGTTTGAAAATATAATTGCGCTCAACTTCCTGTGCATTAACAAATTAATCCCACGTGCCGTAGAGTCCCTATCTCTTCCTTTTTGCACTTTTGCTCTATTACTCTAGCTCATTATAATAATTGTCTATACATTTGTAACGTGTGTCATAATTTTCAGTATGACACGTTAGGCCAAGGCATACGTACGAACATACATATATAAATGCAAATTCAGCATATTTATATGATAATCATGATCATCGTTTTAAAAACGAGTCGAAATTAACGCTCTATCACTATCACGCTTCATCTAGAAAAACTCCTTCCTTAATTATCCCCTTCTACTTGAGCATGATTTCATAAATCTCTTACATGCTGTAATTACTTAAGCTTAACACACTCACCACACCCATCAAGTATCGATAAGGGTTGTTCGTTAGTGAGATGACCTCAACATTCAAGATTATAAAATATTAATTTTCTAATAGCGTGCTCACCTAGACAGAGAAAGTCAAGCTCTCCAAGTGTATTTCTGACATAAAGTAAATTCTTCTCATAAAATCCAATTAGCTGTTCGGAGGTGGCTTAGAAATCAAAATTTGCAATGATATGATCAGAATAATGACGACCCGAGTCGACATAGCAATGTCTGCCTGTGTGTCTGTTTGTCATACGACCCCACGCAACTAGTTATTAGGGTATTTGGTTTAGTGTATTAATTTGCACAATAAGCCGTCGAATAATGAATAAATAACTTAATTTAATTATAACTGAATTAGTATATACAACAAAGCGTTGTACAAATTTTACAGTTATTTCTTCTCATTCGCCTCCGATTAGCTTCACTTAATTTTACGTTTTTAGTTGAAAAAAGCTAAGAAGATTTAAAGTTTAATTCCTCTTAGAAATAAAAAGGCAACTTAGAGTAGTTGGGTAAAAAATATTAGCGATTGAGCAAAGTTGATATGTATGGGTAAATCAACTCTCCCTCTTTCTGTCTATCTCTTACACCAAGCTAGAACTATAATACTTGTCCAAACCTTCGAAACTACACCGGTGAATATTATACAATGGCTCTATGACTGTCGGCAGACTCAGCAATGAATTGATTTCAAATTGCATGTCAAAAAATTTAAATTTAATTTCACGTTGAATACAAAATGTATGGTAACCAAATTCAAAATTCTAAAAATGAGTCTGAATGACCATTTTGTAAAACTAAATTTCTGGCTAATCCACTACGTATACTATATAACATATCATATATTCCAGCGTTTTTAAAACGAAAAAAAGTATAAAAAGGATTAAAAGTATTTAAAAAGTGTAAATTTAAACAAATATTGCTAATGCAGCCAGAGCAACTGCAATTTTTATTTCGGCAATTAGCTTAGTTAAATTATTATTTTTTATTTTTTACTTACCGGACAAACAGTAGCCACAAGCACTCTCACCGTCCGGGTGCTTCTCGCGCATGTGTATCTCGAGGGTTTCCTGATATTTGTAGTGCCAATTACACTGTGGACACTTTAATGTTTTACATGAGTTTCGTGTTGACATTTGTACGCCAGTATTTAGTCGGGTTGAATTTAATATCATTTCACACCTGTTAAGTATCCAACAAAGTATTAGCATTCACTTATACATATATATCTATATAAAAAAAACGATGGGAAATTTTCAGTTTTTCGTGCGTGCCACGAGAAGGGGTTTTTTTGAATGAAAATTTTAGGAAGCTTTTGCGAAGAAGCCGAGAAGTTAAAGAACCTGAAAGTTATTTTGTATATAACTGTTCCGGACTGCCTTTTTTTGTTAGCATAATTGTAAAAGTCATTGTAATATATAACGTATTCATGACAGAAGTCGCTGTACTGCGATAAATACCACAAAATTGTGGATATCTTGTTATTATAGAAATGACAATGCATAATATTTTGATTCCAAGATAAATTCGAAGATCATAAGTCCTTTGGAAATTGGGACAAGATGCAGTGCGCTGGTGTTTTAAAGAAAGTTTAAAGTTTGGATTGTCAAGTGAGTTCTGTGAATATTCTTAAAAACATATAAAAATGTTTACCTTGTACTTAATTACTACTTTGATTTCTGTAAAAAAAATCGTTGATTTGTTTAAATGAACAAAAATACATAGCAGCTGATTGGTTAGCAGAGGGTCATACTTTCGAATCTTGATCAATCTCAAAAACCACAGAAAATCTGTTTAATTGCGATCGCACCTATGCAGGAAAATACAACCCAAATGGGTGTATTTCTCACAGCAAAAAATCTCTTTATCTCAACCCATCAGCCATTCAAAGGCGGCTTAGAAATAGCTGGATGTAGTTCTACAATATTTGTTCGAAAAACCAAAGATACATATATATTTGGCTTTAACAGATTACAATAGTTATTCTTAATTTTAACTTATAATTTTTGTTTGCTTAAATTTGAAGATAACATAATTTGCTTTTCTGACGAAAAATGGTGTGTTTAATTATTAACTAATTGGTACGCAGGCTTATTAACGATCAGCTTTTCAAAGTTTTTCCATTTGGCTTTGATCCTATTCCTTGAATGCGATTGTGTTACTCTAGGTTTCGTTAACTTAACACAGAGAAAAACATTATATTCCGCCACTTTTCTTCGTTAAAGGTGAAAACGCAAGTCAGGCAGCTGAAAATGTGTATAGTGTTTATTGAATTGACACTGTAACAGACAATCACACACATTTTTGGATTCGTCGATTTTGTTCCGGCAATATTGATGTTACAAAATGCCTCACGGTGTGGAAGGCCAATTGTCAAAAAATGTCGATAAAGTTATGAAAATGGTTGAAAACGTCCATAAAAATAGGGAAATCATCGAGTCTGACCGTCATGCGAGCCTTTTTTTTGGTTTCCCAGGAGCTAATTACACAAAAATTTGTTTGGAAATAACTGAACAGGCTTACTTTTCTAGCGCAGACACCGCTTACGCGACTATAGCCTAGTTTACAGTATTGCGCCATTCTTTTCTTCTTTTTGCTGTTTGGCGCCAATTGGAAATACCAAGTACAGCCAGGTCCTTCTCTACCTGATCTCTCCAACGAAGTGGAGGTCTTCCTCTTCCTCTGCTTCCACCGGTGAGTCCGGGAACGAAAACTTTCAAAGCTGGAATATTCTTGTCAATCCGGACCATATGACCTAGCCAGCCTAGCCGCTGCTTCTTGATTAACTGAACTATATAATGCCATCGCATAACTCGTACATCCGCGAAATTCGCAGTTGCCAATCCACAAAGGAACATAAGTCGTTCGCAGAACTCCTAACGCCGCCTCATCAGATGTTGTCTTTGTCCATGCTTCTGCACCATATAGCAGGACGGGAACGACGAGTGACTTGGTTTTGGTTTTTTGAGTTTGGTTTTCGTTCTTTGAGAGAGGACTTTACTTTTCCATACTCCGTCCAAAGTAGCACCTGGTGGCAAGAGAGATTCTGTGCTGGATTACAAGGCTGAGATTATTATTGGTATTGATGCTGGTTCCTAGATAGAAGAAATTACCGACGACTTTAAAGTTTTGACTGTCAGCAGTGAAGGTGTTGCTGAGTCGCAAATGCGATGGCTGTTTGTGTGGTGGCAGAACATTTTCTTCTTGCCCTCATTCACTACCATGGATAATGATCCAGTCAGGAGAAAGCAGAACTCACGACTCGGTTGTTGAGGCCGATAATGTCAATATCATCGGCGTACGCCAGTAATTGTACACTCTTATATAATATTGAACATTCTCTATTCAGCTCTGTGGCTCGTATTATTTTCTCCAGCAATAAGTTAAAAAAGTCGCACGATAAAGAATCACTTGTCTGAAACCTCGTTGTGTTTACACAGCCGTATAAATTTTACGGGGATACCAAATTCAGACATAGCGGCGTAAAGGCAGCTCCTATTCGTGCTGTGGAACGCGTCTTTAAAATCGACGAAAAGGTGGTAGGTGTAGATCAATCCTCTTTTCATGGGTCTTTCACAAGAATCGGCGCATTGTTTCTATAGTACCTGGAAAATGGTTAACTTATCAGGTCTGAAGCCCCACAGATAAGGTCAAATCAGTTTGGTGACGATGGACTTCAGCCTTTTACACAATACGCTCGATATTAATGAGGCTCATCCCACGATAATTTGCTTATCCCTCGATAATAATAGTATAATAGGTAGGTGGGACTGAGTAGGCAACTGAAAAGTGTTCTTTCAACGAACTAAACCTGAACTTTACAAGTCACTCATCATTCTCTTTCGATTTATAATCCTTTGCGCATTGGCAATGGCAAATACCGCAGACGATGGCACGATGAGCTGTACGAGTAATACGATCGAAGAGACAGCGGCTTCACTGGAAAGGTCATGTCGTCCTACTGAATTAAAGTGCTTCAGCTTTGAAGGTATTCGATGCAGCACCAACCGATTAAAGCAAAAGAAAAGAGATACTTCCACTATGTTAAACGAATTAATTGTGTAATATTAAAAGTCATAGCACCCTGGGTAAACTAAACTTAATAATTGCCATTTTTAAGAAATTCATAAAATATTTTCGCATTTAAAATTTGAAAGTGAAAGTGTAAATTACATGTAGTGAAAAGTTACTAATCTTATAAAAATAGTTCCAACTTACTGAAATGCCTAAAAAAGTGAAATTAGTTACGATGACAGAGTTAGAATTCAAGTTCTAAGTGAAGAAAGTTAGTCTCAGGTTGAGGTTGCCAATTTGGTGGAATGTTCGCGGTGCGTGGTCGAATGTGCTATCAGGCGATTTGTGGAGACGAAATCCCACAATAAAAAATCAACAAGGAAAAAAGCGTCTAACCAGTAAACGAGAAGACCGAATACTTATACGCGAGTCTCTCAAAGAGCGCAAAAAATCTTCTTCTGGCCTTGTAGCTGCCCTTTCGAATGAATTTAGTAAACCAGATTTCACGGAAGAAGATTGGTCGAATGTTCTGTAGTCTGATGAATAACCTTTCAGGTAAGCTTAGTTAAGATCGTCTTAAGGTATTAACAGCCATAGCTTCTTACCCTAGAGCAATTTTGAAGACATAATACAAATCTTATGAAAACATTGTTTTTTCTTTTCTACAGATATTTGGAACACCTGGTGTGACGTTCGTGAGGCGACGGGTTGTGGAAGATTATCATCCAGGTTGCGTGGTACCGTCTGTTAAGTATGGAGGAGGCGGCATTATGATCTGAAGCTGCATGGCTGCTAATGGCGTCCGCGAAATGTTCGTTTGCGAGGGTCGCATGGACATTCAAAAGTACAAAGATGTATTAGAAGCTGTTCTTCTGCCTTCGTTAACGCACATTTTCGGCGATACTAATTTAGACGGGGTTCAATTTCAGCAAGACAACGATCCTTTTCACAAATCAGCGACTACGATGCGTTGATTTCGAGATAACAACAATGTTGTGTTAGATTGTTCTGCACAGTCTCTAGATCTTAATCCCATTGGAAACATGTGGGCTATTTTAAGATGCAAGATTAAGGAGCATAGTATAACATTAAAAACTGTCTTAAGGAATGCCTTAATCAATGAGTGGTTCGCTATAAGTGCAGACGAATGTGCAAAGGTTGTACGCAGCATGTCTAAGAGGAATGCTGCCGTTATTATCACTGTTTAATTGTATTTTCACTGTTTAAACAAAAATTCAGTAATTAGTGGGGTGCCTAATACTTTGGCCAAGCCTGTATATGTATGTATAGTACGTGACCCATGATGCTGCCTTGTGACACGATGAGTTAATTCTGTTCCATCGAATTGTCTTTCAGATCGGACTGAGTAAACACATAGAAATTAACAGAAAGACTTTTTAATTGTAAGTGACATATATACGTATATAAGTTGCCTACATGTGTACGTGTGTAACTCTACTTCTAACGCCTCTCTCACAATTCGCATCGTATACTCCGAGATAGGAGCTCGAAGTGTGGGTGATGAATAAGTAAGCTTATTATTAAGGAGTTATTATCGTTTAAGCACTTGAGATGAATAAAAGGTCATACATTGGAGTAAACCTAAACCTCGTGTATTTATTTCTTTTAGTAGCGCAGTCGGTAGGATCTGTGAAAAAGATCCTTAAAACGAACGTATGCTCAAATGTTCTATCTGCAAAGATTTAAATTAAAATATACAAAAACTAATTTCATACGTGAATTTAACAAACAAAAAATATATTATCAGAGATATAAAACAAATATAATAATGGAAAAAGTGTTTTCTAACCTAATATGTTAAACAAGTTTGAATTGACTTTCAAATGACCCTGATTTGCGTGCAACTTAGAAAGTAAGAGAAGAACTCATAGTTTAAACTTTAAAGAAAAATTTAAGAGCGACTAAATTTTTGAACACTACAACACTAAGCAGTCGGCATATCTGCATTGTTGTTTGTGCTGTCATTCCACATTCCAAAGGCTGATGAACACAGTATTGGAAGGGTTAATTAGTAGAAATTGCATGGTGTATCTAGACTATATTGTGGTGTTTAGCACGTCACTTCAGGAGCATATCGAATCCCTCGATAATGTGTTCCAAAGACTGTCTAATGCTAATCTTAAAGTACAGCTCACTAAGTGTGAGTT